GACCTATGCAATCCCTAAGATGCCCCATAAACCATGTCCATGAATCAGAGGTTTCAGATTTGCCAACCCCGTAAGCTATTGGCAATATCCCATTGTTAGCATCCATGGCTACTGCTAATAAGTTTACTCCAAGGTATCGACCTTTCAAATGTGCTCCGTCAACTATAATAACTGGGCGCATGCAAGTAATAAACGAACGAATCTACAAAATAATATACACAAGAAATATAATCATTTAAATGTGAAATGCATGTAACTAACAAAATGAGTCAACAAAATTATATTGATTTACTAACCGTAGCACCAATGGCGATAAACAGCAACTCAAAGCGTCCATCTCTATCTGTTTTGATATGAGTTACCGACCCAGGATTTTTCAGCTTTAAATTGTGACAATAAGCCGGCAGTTGGGCAAACGATGCTTCTGGCGACCCCCTCAACAATTCCAAGGCATAACATTTGGCTCTCCAAGCTTGAGAATATGATATACTAATCTTGAACCGAGCATTCATGTCAGTCATAATTTCATGTCCCCGATATACCCTGCCATTCAAAAACATTAACTCAGCCAGAAAACCACCCAACACCTTTTTGTTTGCCTGTCTATGGTGAGGAAACACTTGGGTTCTTGAACATGTATGTTTATCAATAAAAGTCCTAACTTGAAACATTTTGCAATCTTTTATTCTCTTTGCAATCATACGCCACGTACAGTTTTTGTTAATCATACACCTTGTTTCGAAACGATCTTTGCTTGATTTGTTAACTTTTAGTTGATAGCCATCTTCCACACATTTCGTATACAAAGCTATCTTCAAGTCTTCCTTTGTATCAAAACAATCATCTTTCTTGACACGAATAACTTTTGTGTAACAATCAACTGCTTTCTTTGCCAACTCTTCTTCCGGTAACTGAAGTAATTCTGGCATATTCCAGTTATACTCCCGTGGCATTTTCTTTTCTTCGGTGACTTTTTCTTCTTCTTTTTCTTCTTCAGGATTATATGAATTACAGAATGGATGTTCAACATGTTCATTCACAGTCGTAACTTCCTCCTCATTATCATCAACAACATCTTCCTCGGCAACGGGTGTTTCATCATCAAAATTCGGGTATTGACCAATATTAAAATCATTACACACAAGGTCTGTTTCTTCTTCTGAAACATCATCAAAATCCGTGTATTGACCAATATCAAAGTCCGGATATTGACCAAGACCAAATTTCGAATACTGACTAGTACTCACAATTTTTTCTGTTGGCTCATCATCGTCTAACTGGTCAATACGAAAACCGGAATTTGGTGCTGAAAGTTGATTGGGATTTGGATTAGAGAAAGGTTGTGGGTTTTGAGAAAAACTTAGTTGATTACTACCCGCTACTGACCCAACAATACTACTTCTAGGTTCAACAACATACAATGTAACATCATCTTGTGAAACACTAATGTAAGCAATGAATCGTTCAACATCTTCATTGTCGGTTAACAAATAAACTTTACCATTTCTCTGATAAGATAGCCTAAATCCACTTAGGGGCTCTAAATTCAATTTATTTGAAACACGTAGCATTAGAGTTTCATAAGTTAACTTTTGTAAAGACAATTTTAGTTGAAGATTCATGGGTAAAGGCATATATTGTAAAACACCATGAACATTATCCCATGACCCTCCAAAACACAAATCTATCCAAACATGATCAACATTAGATGATTTCATGGTTGTAAATTAATTTACTAAACAGACGAGCTGCGAAACTAAAACCTGTTGCCGGATTGGGAAGGATGTCGTTGGATATAGGAACGGATGTCGCCGGAGAGAGTGATAGATAGAGATGGAATGAGTTGCGATTTAGGGATTTAGTTTATGATTTCAGTGTTATATACCCAAAATTTCAGTGTTGTGATTTACAGATTCTCGTTGCGATTTACGGATTATCGTTGCGATTTACAGATTCTCGTTGCGATTTACGGATTATCGTTGCGATTTACAGATTCTCGTTGCGATTTACGGATTATCGTTGCGATTTACGGATACGCGTTGCGATATACGGATACGCATTGCGATTTACGGATACGCGTTGCGATATACGGATACACGTTGCGATTTATGTGTTCGCGTTGCGATTTTCATATTCGCGTTGCGATTTTGGAAAATCGCAATGCGAATTTGTACTATCGCATTGCGATTTTCAAGAATCGCGTTGCGATTTTGGAAACTGATTTGCGATTCTGGGGATCGCGTTGCGATTTTTATTTCGCGTTGCGATTTTGTTGGTCATTTTGGCAAATCCAAAAAAAGTTGGTTAAAATCGTATATTATAACTTTTTTTTGGTCACTGAGGCGATTTTCTCTTTCTAAAAACCTTTCCCCGTCTCTCTTCACTTTAGAAAATAGTGGAGAGCACCGTCGACTGTCGCCACATCAGACACCGTTGGTCATCACGCTGCCACCTTTGTCGGTGGTTGTTCGGACCTAAAACTTTCAGGATGGCTCTTATTGGTGTTGGGAGTCCGAATCCGATCTCCGTTTTGCGAGAAATTGCCTCCAATACCGTGAAAAGGGCCAAGACCCTTTTGGTTCTTTAACGCTTCGATCTTCAACGTTCACCGTTGGTTCGTCTCGAGGCCGAGCTACATGGTTCCACTCCTCCCAACGCTTCTCCTCACCATTGGGAATCAATGATGGAGACTTCGAACGCTGACGAGACTCCGATCGAGAGGTAAAGCCTCTTCTTCTTCCTTTATTTTCCTTTGTTTTTTTAGTTGTTGCTTCGAATGAAATCAAATAAAATTGGTTCTTGGTTTTGAAAGAAAATGAAAAAATTGAAAAATGTTTGCTGCCTTCTTTAAAAAAATGGAGGAGAATTGTTATATTGCTTTCGAATGAGGATCGAGAGATTCCTTTTATATTATTTGGTTTTTCCGAATGGTGGGGGTGTCCCTTACAACTGTTTGATGTGGGTTTATATAATACCCAAATCACATTGAGGAAAAAATGAAAAAAAATACAAATTACAACTTAAAATTGAACTTCAAATTCTAAAAACAAGAATGTATGGTCACTAATCCCGATTTCCAATGTTTGTTAATTTCATTTTTTAAGATGAATTTTCACTTCTTTTCTACGTGTAAATAAGAAGTGAGTAATTATTTAAAAATTATTTAAAAATTTATAGATCTTATTTACTGAGACCATAAAATACATAATGGGCCAAATCTATTAAATAATTTTTTGGTTTTAGGCCGAAGTAGCCGTGACATGAACATGCCAACTCATGACACGTAAAAAATCATTAAAGTGAGGATATTTTATAAATTTATATATTAACCACCGCCCATTGCGGTTTTAATATATAGTAACCACCACCATCATTCACATCATTTTTCTTCTTCTCAATGATGAATGAATCATCGTCGTATAATTTGATAAATCCGTACACAATTGAGCTTCACCCAAAGTCATAAAAAATAATAATTTTTAACATTCATTTGGGAACTTTAACAAAAATGATAACATTTAGCAAACATCAAATGTGTTGGTGTGGTCCAATCCTAATGCCGCCGCCACCGCACCAATTATTTTTTAATTAGTTAGTGGTGTGTCAAATGAATAAAATTTAAAAATAATAATAATAATAATAATAATAATAATAATTTGACAGGCATTATTTGTATAATCTTTAGAGTAAATTACATGTTTAATACAAAAAGTTATTATTTTTGTTCGGTTTTGATACAAATTTTATTTTACTTCAAAATCATACATAACATTTAATTAGTTTCATTTAGTGTCCCACTGTTAAGAATTTAAAAGTTATGTTGACATGCTACCGTAAGATAATGTCACATCATCATTGAAAAATAAAAAATATCACACAATCAGTTCTGTTAATTTTTTAACGGTGGACTACCAAAATGAAACTTAAACTAAATGTTAGGTAATATTTTAAAACAAAATAAAATTTGGATACTAAAATGGAATAAAAGTAATAATTTGGATACTAAGCATGTAGTTTACCCTAATGTCTAATATCTCATTATTTATTACTTAATTTTGGATTTATTTACAAATATTTTTGATGTCATCTGAATATTATTATGAAATTATTATATTTCACCGACAATAAAATGTTTTTTCTCTTCGATATATAAAAGTTCATTTATATTAATTTTAATAAAAAAAATTCAAAAGGAAAATGAAAATCAATAGTTTCACATGGATTCAAAAGCAGTCTTAATGTGAAATAGAATGCATTTGCATCTTCAAACAAAACCACAAATTATATAAAAATATGAATTATTACTTTTGAAGTAGATTAAAACCATCTAAAATAAAAATAATTTTATGCTATAAAAATAAAAATTAATTTAAAATTAAAATCAATTCAAATAATTATAATTTTTATACTTATACATAATGAAGAGAAATAAAAATATTGAGCCAAAAACTATAAAAAAAATAATTAAGAAAAATTATGTGTACGGTACATGTCAAAGACACGTAATTATAAAAATATGAACACGAGCACAAATCGATCAATGATAACAACGACGACATGTATTTGTAAAAAAATATCATTTTGATAAATAATACTATTTGAGTATATTTTAATGAAAATGAAAAAAAAACAATATTCTAATAAAATAATAGTATATTTCATTATTTAAAATATAAATATTTATTTTTATAATATAAATATTATAGTTCAGTTTGATTTTGATTAATTTTTTTCTTGACCTTTTTACCTAAATATATTATATTTAAAAATAATTTTTTATCCTAACACTAATTGTAGATTATTTCTGAATCTAACCCTCTTTTCTACAATGAAGGATAAAAGCACATTCGTGAAAAGCGCATTCTGTTGGACATGTATTCTACCTATGTGACAACAACAGCAACAATGGTTAGATTGAAATGAAAAAAGAAAATAAGGGAAAAATATGAAAAATAATATATTATATATTATTATTATTATATTATTATTATTATTATTTTATCATTTCGGGGACATCCGATAAAATTAGAATGATACAGAGAAGATTAACATGACCCTGCACAAAAATAATACGCACAAATTAAATAATGGTCCAAAATCAACAGTAGCTTAACTTGGTTGGTAGAGGCATGGGCCCATATGCCAAGGTCAGGGTTCAATTCCCCTCAGCTACACGATTCCAAATATCTTACTTTGTAAATGCAATTTATATGCAATTCTATCTTCACACCTATAGAGTGAGCAGGAAACTTTATTATGTTCCCCTTCCCATTGCAGGAATGATATTATATTTGTTTTATCGGCATGTGACCCTTAGTATTAGCAAACCCTAATGCGAACGTTGACGTGAAAACAAGTGAGTTCGCCGGAACGCAAGGAGAAAGACCACCAGACGCTCCACCACAGGGAACATTTCCCAAGATCTGTTGCAAATAAGAGAGAATAACAACCCGGAATCAATCCATAACCAAGTTTCTAAGGTTCTGGGAGAAGGCGTTATAATAAAAAACACACAAGAAGGATTTTGTCAAATCCGAAGGTTATTGACTTGGAAAAATCGAAAGATGTTAGCATGGTAGAACTCCCTGAAGGAAGAAGTCCGGAGGAAGAAAAAGAAGATTCTTCGAAAGCGGCTGGATAACAAGGGAAAGAGAGGAGAACGTATGCGGACATGGTAACAGGAAAACAAAGCATGATGATGGAGGAAGATGAGTTTGTCTTGGTTGAGGAAGATTATGTCATCGACAACTCCGGACATTTCCCAACGATCAAATTTTCTGAGAGAATACATTTGATTCGATAACAACATGAAACAAGCGGTGATAGTAAGATTATTGGGTAGGACGATTGGATTCAAAGCCCTAGAATCCCGAATACAATCAATCTGGAAACCACAAGGGAGATACCAACTATTAGATATTGACAATGAATACTTCATTGTCAAATTCAAAATCGATAATGATTACTTGAAGATCTTAACAGAAGGCCCATGGACGATCTATGCAAGCCACCTAATAGTGCAACCATGGAGTATAACCTTCTCGACCGCAGAAAAACACCCGTCCCATGTAGTGGTTTGGATAAGACTCCCATGTTTGCCATATAGATGATACTATACGAAAGCCCTCTTCAATAAGATTGCATCTACAATTGGTAGAGTGATCAAGGTTGATTATAATACAAGTAGAGGGGAACGAGGTAGATTTGCAAGGTTAGCGATTATGCTAGATCTCAATAAACCATTGCTACCATGCATCGAAATTGATTGTTTCATCCAAAAACTAGAATATGAAGGTTTACACATGATTTGCCTCAACTGCGGAATCTATAGACACACAAGAAAGCTGCAAAAAAAAAACTAACAAGAGGTTAGTCATAAAGAAGGTACGAATGAACAAGAACCCTAACAACAGAAACATACATACCATTCACAAGAGAAACAAAAGGATATCGAGACCTACGTGTTGGAAATAAAACACTCACACAAACAACTTTTATTGAAACTCAAACAAATATTACAAGAGCACTCTCATTCAAAAACAAGAACTACAACTCACTCTTATAAGACTTTACTTATTCACTCACTTAGAAGCTCTTAATTTTTCTTGATGCTTAAACTAAAATAGGGAGGGGTATTTATACTACTCAAGAACAATCCTACACCACACAAATAAAATAACTTAAACCATTAAAATATACAAATACCTAACTCTTCACCTAATTCTTCACCTAACTTTTCACCTAACTAAATTGATGTAAGCAATGACATCAATTTAGTTTAGGTTTGGGTTTAGGCTCCCATAATGGATCAAGTTTATGATCCAACAACCCTTAAACTTGATTTTATGACCCGTAGTAAGTTCCTTAATCTTATGAAGTCTTCGCTTGTCAATGGATTGGTAAAAATATCGGCAACTTGATCTTGTGACTTCACGTATTCAACTTCCACATCTTTTCTTGCAACGCACTCCCTTATATAGTGGTAGCGAATATCGATGTGCTTACTTCGATCATGGAATACTGGATTTTTTGCTAAGGTAATGACTGACTGACTTGTTGTCCACACAAACCTTGGTAGGCTCTTCTTGTATCAAACCTATCTCCTTCAATAGATTTCTAAGCCAAATTGCATGACAAACGCATAAGGTAGCAACAACATATTCCGCTTCACAAGTGGACAATGTGACAATCAGTTGTTTCTTTGACATCCATGTGAAAGCAGTATCTCCCATGAAAAATACGAATCCAGTAGTGCTCCTTCGATTATCTATGTCTCCACCCCAATCACTGTCGTTATATCCAACAAGCTTGTAATAATTGGAAACTGAATAGAACAAGCCAAAGTCAATTGTACCCTTCAGATAGCGAAGAATTCTCTTTGTGGCTTTAAAATGGGTGGTTGTTGGAGATTCCATGTAGCGACTAACCAATCCAACTACATGAAGAATATCGGGCCTCGTGCAAGTTAGATGGCGTAGACTTCCCACCAAACTTTTGAAGAATGTTGGATCCACACTTTCGCCTTCTTCACGTTTGGACATCTTGATCCCGTATTTTGTCGGTGTGCTTATTGGCTTACAGTTCTCCATCTTGAACTTCTTCAGTATCTCCTTTGCATAGCTTTCCTGTGAAATGAAAATTCCGTCCTTTTATTGCTTAACTTCAATGCCAAGGTAGTACTCCATGAGCCCCATGTCTGTCATCTCGAATTCTTTCATCATCACATCCTTGAATTCATTAAACATGCTTGGGTTGCTTCCGGTGAAGATCAAATCATCCACGTAGAGACATACGATCAAAATATCTTCATCTTTGATCTTGATATATAGAGTGTGCTCGTAGGGACATTTGTTGAAGCCATTCTATTGGAAGTACTTGTCGATTCGGCTATTCCATGCTCTTGGTGCTTGTTTTAGCCCGTAAAGAGCCTTACTTTACATCCATTTGCTATATCTTCCACTTGTTTTGAGCTGCCAAAGAAATGATTAGTCTGATAGTCTCCAATCGAGCAACAGGAGAAAATACCTTATCATAGTCAATTCCATCCTTTTGACTATAGCCTTTAGCAACTAGCCTCGCCTTGTGCCTTTCAATCTCTCCTTTGGCGTTTTGCTTTGTTTTGTACACACATTTGACACCTATCGCCTTATGTCTCTTGGGAAGTGAGGTAAGTTTCCATGTGTCATTCTTCTAGATGGCCTTGATTTCTTCGTCCATTGCATCTCTCAATTTCTTTTCTTGTATCGCTTCTTGAAAGCTCAATGGTTCACAATCGGCAAACAGACAAAATAATATAAGATTATCTTGTCGTTCAGTTACCTCATAGAGATCTCTAAGGCTTCTTGTACGTTGCACAACTCTTTCACTTTGACTCCCACTTAACGATGATGAAGGTGATGAGTCTCATTGAGTGGTTGATGTTGGTGAAGTGGGTGGAGTTTCAATCTCTTGTTGAGGTTCACCTAGTTGTTCCCTCATTGTCTGCTCATCTTCTTCAAACTAAGGAAAGAAATTGAAGTCATTTGCATGAGAGTTAAAATCCCATTCTCCTTCTTCATTGAAGACTACATCTCGACTAATCATAATCTTTTTATTGTCTGGATTGTACAGCTTGTAGCCTTTTGAATTTGCATCATAGCCGATGAAGATAAAACTCTCGCTTTTATCATTAAGCTTCGTTCTTCTCTCGTCTGGTACGTGAACATGGGCTATACTTCCAAAGATTCTCAAGTGGGAAATATCATGCTTTTTTTCACTACATGCCTCTTTCGGTGTCTTTCCCTATACACTTCTTCTTGGAGATCGATTTATCAAGTAGACTGTACACGCTACTGCTTCTGCCCAAAATTCATTGGGTAGTTTCTTGCTTTTGAGCATGCTTCGTTTCATGTCGAGTATTGTTCTGTTCTTTCTTTCTACGACACCATTTTGCTGAGGGGATCTAGGAACTGTCATTGGTCGACGAATTCCATTTGCTTCACAAAACTCTTGAAACTCCTTGTAAGTAAATTCTCAACCTCGGTCAGATCTCATGGCTTTGATCTTTTTACCACATTCTCTCTCCACTGATGCTTTGAACTTCTTGAAGACTTCGAAAACTTCTGACTTCTGTTTCAAGAAATATACCCAGATTTTTCTTGAAAAATCATCAATGAAGAGAAGAAAATATTTACTGTTACCGAGAGAGCTTGGCTTAATCGGTCTACACACATCGGTATGGATGAGCTCAAGTGGCTTCTTGGCTCTTGTCTCTGGCTCCTTTGGAAAGCTTTTCCTTAATTGTTTCCCGACTAGATACCCTTCACAAAGTTGGTCAGGATGGTTGATGCGAGGTAGTCCCTTCACCATCTCCTTCTTAGATAGTTGTTCTAGATCTCTAAAATTGAGATGCCCAAATCGAAGATGCCAAAGCCATGATGCATCTTTGTAGCAAGCTTTCAGGCACTTTGCAACATCATTTTATATGTTGATCAAGAACATTCTATTATTTGACATCGACACTTTAGCAATGAAGTTATTCTTATCATCTTTTATAGAAAGATTATAATTATTCATATGAATAACATAACCTTTCTCTACCAGTTGCCCTAAACTTAAGATGTTACTTTTCATATTGGGCATATAGTAGACATTTAAAATAAATTGATGTCTCCCATCTTTCAAATGGATAAGAATGTTACCTCTCTCTTTCACTGCTATTGTGGAATCATCTCTAAACAAAACATTTCCGCTTACTGACTCGTCTAGCTCCACGAACATGTCTTTCCTTCCACACATGTGATTGCTTGCACCACTGTCAAGATACCAGGAATTTGCTTGGCCACCATTAGTTTCCTTTCGTGCTAGAAGAAGAGTTTCTTTGCCATCTGTCTTTTCCTCCACATAGTTGGCATTCTCCTCAATTTTGTTGTTGGGAGATCTACATTCTGAAGCATAATGCCCAAACTTCTGACAATTATAACATCGAACTTGAGATTTGTCATACTTTGAGTTCGGATTGATTCTTCCACGGCCTCGTGTTGAGCTTTCTCCTTTCTCATAGTTGTTGTTGGAATTATTGTTGTTATAATTCCAGCATCTTCCACGACCTCGACTTCTACCTCGTCCATGTCCTCTGCCTCTGCCTTGGCCAAGTTGGTTTCTATCATTGCGTTGACTTTCATGCATATCCTTGAGTTGCAGCTTGAGGAGTTGCTCAGTAAACTCATGCTTCTTCTTATGCTTCTCTTCGTATGCTTGCAATGATCCTTGGAGTTGCTTGATCGTCATTTCTTCCAAGTCCTTAGTTTCTTCAATCGTCACGACTATGTGCTTAAATTTGGGATCCAACAAATGGAGTATCTTCTCTATTATCCTCACATATTCTATCTTTTCACCATTTCTTTTCAATTGATTAGAAACAACTACTACTCTTGAGAAATAATCTAAAATAGACTCAGATGCTTTCATGTGAAAGGATTCGAATTCACCTCTTAATGTTTGAAGACGAACCTTCTTCACTTGCTCAAATCCTTTGTAAGAGGTTTGCAGCTTCTCCTACGCTTCCTTGCTAGAGCTTGCACTCGAAATCTTTTCAAAACCATCATCATCTAATGCTTGATAGATGAGGTAGGGAGCCTTATTGTCTCTCTTTCTTAAATTCTTCAAAGTTGTCTTTTGATCTGGTGTAAGAGTAGCAAAAGCATCATCATCCGTTGGCTTGTTATAACCTTTCTCTATGATATCCCACAAATCTTGTTGTAATACCCTAATTTTTTCCGGGCAATTTTAAATTCACTTGAAGATGATCGAGAATTAATTTGAAGATATTTGTGCTCGATGAGAAATTAATTTGAATGACATGAGGGTGTTGATGAAAGATGAATGGAAGATTGCATTTGGGTTAATATGAAAATCGAGAAACTTTAGGTATTGAATTGGATTGTCATCATATTTATTTCATTTTGGAAATCAAGATAAATTGGAACAAAAGCAATCGATAAAGCAAAGCGATAGAAATGCGAGGACTCTTGAGGTACATATTCCAAGCATATTTGGGTGCTGAAGTCTTCTTAACAATTATTAAATTATCTCTTATCTTTCTAACGTACTTTGAATCGTATCAATCCGGTATCAGTAGCTCGATATATGCTTAATTAACTGAAGACTGTGCAAGCTGGAAAATTAATACAGGAATTACGAATTCTGTTCAACAAACTTTTGTTTTCCATTCACTTGCACAAATAGACACGTGGGAACAATCTGATGGGACACTATAACAACATATTAATTTACGTGGGAGACAACTTATGATGGAGCAATAAGTGACATCCATTCAGCAAGCATAAACAGCACACAAAGAGAGAGGGGAGCAGCACGTGGAAGATAATTTCAAGCATTGTTTTTAGCTAACCCATACTCTCACTCACATATATCCTGCAAGGTCACAAATCAAACAATTAGATGGTATAAGTGGGGAACACAAAAAGGAGGTGGGGGTATCATATTATTGGGGGATAAAAAATATTAAAGAAGAAAAGCACTAAACCGATCCAAGTGAAGCCCCTTGAGGTTGTCACCCATTCCATTTCAAACTGCCCACGTGAAGCAGCTCAGTTACCCATCCCAGCGTGACCTGCTCCCACATGAAGACACATCAGCTGCCTCCCACGTGAATGAGACGAAAAGGACAGATTCAATACACAAAATGCAGCATATTATGGGGAATAATAAAAGAGGAACATCAACATACTCACGCCCAGAAAAACTCGAGACAATGCGCCGTTCACCAAGTACCCACCCGCGTTTGTCGGCCATTCACTGAAGCATTACCGCCGTTCACTTTGTTCGAGCCCATAACCTACAAAATTTGTTTTTGTTTTCAAAGGAGGCATGGAATATAATACAGAGGACGTAAATTAACCAAAAGGGGGATCGATAAGAACATGTTGGGTTTTCAGCTAAAAAATATAAAGAAGGGGACTCTCGGTTTTGGATAGAGGGGCGATTAGCGAGCAGAGAATCATCAGCAGTAACCAGAGAGTAATTCCAACAGAGTATTCAAGCAACAACGAAAAACAAAAAAGTGTTCATCAACCACAGTGGACGGAACTCTTCGAAAAAGACATCCATTGTAATAAGAGTTTCACTCATCATTGTATTGAAATCAAAGAAGCAATTGAAAGCAAGGAGTAGTTGTTTTGGTATTTTCCATCCTTATTTCGATTTCCAGTTTAATCTATGTATGTCTTTATTTTGAAACAGTTAGAAAATCAAGCAACACACAATAATAAAACACATTTTAAGAGTCAAACTAAAACAAATAAGATTAGGTGAGAGCTTGAGAAATAAAATAAAACAAGAAAGAGAGGACGAGGGTTTTAGAGTTTACCTTGGTCGAAGATTCATACCATCAGGGGAGGTCAGTAGATTTTAGAGCATTCGTCGGTCGTGTAGGAGAGTGGTCAAAGGATTGAGTCTTTTGGTTGTTTAGGTCTCGCAGGTCGGTTTAGAACTTGTGGGGTTTCGTTTTATAGGTTTCAGATAAGAGAGTCGGTGGCTTTGTTTAGGTCGGTGTCAAAGGGGGTTTGGCCATCGTTAGTGGTGGCCAAAAGCGATGAGCGGTGCCGTCTTAAGCCGATTTACGGCTTGGGTTTTGACCCCTGGTTTCGTCGGACAGAGAGAGCGGCTGGGGTAGTGTGAGTTTATGATTAGGTTTAGTTTATAATTAGAATTTATATTAGCAATGTTAGGGTTAATTATCTACAAGTCACCGTCTTTTAGGGGTTATTAGCGCGAGGTCCAGTATATTTAGCTTAGTATATTTTAGTCCTCGATTAGAATCTTTTATTTTTCATTTTGGTTCTCATATTTTTTGCGTATTTGATTTCATCCTTAATTAGTAATGTACTTAAAATCTGTTTTTTAGACATTTACCTTTTAATTTTTGCATGTTTCGTTTTAGTCCATGTTTAAGTTTCTTATTTGTATACATGTATGGTTAGTTAGGGTTCGTTTCGAGTGTATGCTTATCCTAGGTTTGAATGACGATGATATGTGTGCATATGTTATTACGTGGTTAATAAATATGGATTTAGATGTAATATATCCTTTTATTTAATTAATCTTTGCATGACATCATTTTTGCATGATAGCCTCACGTGCATAACTTGATATTATTACATAATTTGATTAAGGGTAATACCCTTTTAATTTAAAATTATTTTAAGCGGGTTGTCTTAACTTATTAGATATCCGCTTTTAACGATTTTAAATTAAAAGTGTATCCCAATAGTGACACCTAAGAAATGGATTCATTGCTTTAAAATTTGGGAATGGAAGAAAAAGAAATGTTCGCCTATTTAAATTTATCCAGAAAAGATAGTTAGAACTTATCTAAGATCTGGTCTCGATATTTGTAAATAATCGAATATTCTTTATCTTTCTAAAGGCTTGATAATTTTAACTTAATCAAACTTGTTGCTTTTGAATATGGTGGAATTCGTGTGTTGTTATTTGTTGGGGATCATAAATCAAATTAAAATCGAATTTGAAAATTTCATTGCAAAGACATTAATTAATCGATGAGGTATCGATTTAGGGCGCTGTGGGGGTGCTAATCCTTCCCCACGCATAACCGACTCCCAAACTCATTTTCTGGTAACACAAACCTAAATTTGTTGTTTTAATTAAAATTAATTTTTATTTAAAATGAAAAAATAATTTTTGGTGTCCAATCACACCCTAATCAAAGATTGATGGCGACTCTTTGAACTTGTGTTTTTATCGTGAATGAATTCTCAAATTTTTGAAACGAGAGGTTTTCTAAAATCACATTGTTTTTAATTAAAAATCAATCGTAAAATGGATAATTAAAAATGATGTGGCTTTTCGAAATCTCGCTCCCCCACCGTTTAAAAATCGTTTCGACATTTGTGATCCAAGAAGTGTCTTCATTTTGATACTCCAATTGTCGTAGTTGTTGTTGTAGAGTGTCGGAACTTGGAATAGTGTCATACCGTTTGCTATATCTCTCAATATAATGAGATTTTACAAAATCTGATTGCACGGATGAATCCGGAACGCCGAAAAACCTTAGGAGGGACTTGGACAACTCGGTCAAGGGGCTCCAACTCTGCTAACTCGGCTCAACTCGGTGAGTCAACTTGATTTTCTGGCAGCAGTCTTCCGGCGGTGCGTGGTGGTGCGTCAGAACTTAGATTGAGAAAATTTTGGCGGCGTCGGATTCCTCTCATCGAGACCTTCGATCTTTCCAACTCGCTCTGATGCCACTTTCTTGGAAATAAAACACTCACACAAACAACTTTTATTGAAACTCAAACAAATATTACAAGAGTATTCTCACTCAAAAACAAGAACTACAACTCACTCTTATAAGACTTTGCTTCTTCACTCACTTAGAAACTCTTAATTTTTCTTGATGCTTAAACTAAAATGGGGAGGGGTATTTATATTACTCAAGAACAATCCTACACCACAAAAATAAAATAACTTAAACCATTAAAATATACAAATATCTAACTCTCACTTAACTCTTCACCTAATTCTTCACCTAACTCTTCACCTAACTAAATTGATGTAAGCAATATCATCAATTTAGTTTGGGTTTAGGCTCCCATAATGGATCAAGTTTATGATCCAACACTACCGACCATGGATGGTCGCTGAGACTAGAAGGCGCAGACCACGGAAGGATCTAAGTAGTGTATCTACAGGTTTAAAGAATCTTGAGCAAACGAGAGGCTCTAGGTTTACTATCCTACAGGAGGAAGATTTGGTTACTGACCAACTATCTATTTCATTTTCCGAGTAAAATTAAATCGAACAGCTAAAATAAACTCACTCAAATATGATCATTTGGTGTTTTCTCAATGTCAATATTTTTCATGCGGGGTGGAAAATAGTGGGACAAGTGGATGCTGAAATGGGTAGAGGAAGGTGACAGGCACCAAGGAGTAGCAGAATTAGTGGTGCAGACAATAATTCTTAAATCCGGCTGTCAGTCCATGGAGGAGCTGTTGTCTCACCCCCAATACGAGCGACTCGTCGACCTCACCAGTACAGTTTGCCATCAACTTTGTCACTACATAAAGCAGAAGGTCAGTGGCTTAAAACCAAGAAAATAATTAACCTTACCTTAGCTTGAATCTTTCTTATCATTTGCCTGTATTGTGTACGTTGCTCTGAGTCTTCATTTTTCTTCCAACATTCATATAGACATACATCCGAATCCAAGTACATAGTTCCCACATACACAATAGACAATTCCCTAATCTTATGGAGAACTTTAATGGTTTCAAATGTTGCAGGTGCACGACAATAAATGCTTTGATAATACTGATACAGAGCATATGAGAACACAGAAAATAGAATCCTCAATGCAAGAACTTGTTCAATTAGTACAGCAAAATTCCTCAGACATCAACTGGGAGTTCAAGCAAACATTTCTTACGGTGGCACTGAGTTTTTACTATGCCGTACACTGCGACTTGGAGACTACCAGTTTCCGCATTGCTAAAGTACTCTTTGAGAAAGTACACTGATCAATCCTTCTTCTTAAGGTTGATGGGATTGTTAGAGTTCCTGAAAATAAATTATCTTTATGAGTAAAGCAAACTGTAAACTGAACTAAGTGGCAACTGTGCTGTAGAAATATTTATCTTAGCTACCCATGAACAAAGTAAGCCTTGGGCCAATGTTATAGAAAGGCTCAACTTACTTTGAACTTAAAGAGGGGGAAATGATTTACAGAATACTCTACGATCTCACATCAGCATCACCGTTAAGTTTTAGTGGTGAGTGATTAAAAGGGAATCAAAATGTAACTTTAGGTATAATTTAAAAAAAAGATAATTAGATGACCAAAATAGAACCGTACGAATAGTTGGGTGATTAGACACTTAGTTTAACCTAATAAATTTTGATGGACGATAGTTTAATATTTTTGTTTGGAATTGAAAAGTATCCTTTGGGCTAACTCGAGTCTAATTTCAACATTGAAACGGTTAGTTCAGAACCGGAGAAAATGGCCGACCGACGATGTGCCATAACCGTCGTCCCTAACTTTAACTAAAATTCAGATGAATCATCGGAGATGTCCATTATCGATCCCTAGATGGATCTTCTCAAAGAAGAGTTTCTCAAGAAGCGGCAGAGCTTAGCTCAGGATACCGGCGGCAAGCGCGTATTCAAACGCTCCGAGATAGAACAAAAGCAAATCCAAAAGCTTCGCGAGCAAGAGAAACGCGAACTCGAAGCAAAATCTCGCCCCCAATCGACCGCGTCCCCCTCCAATGTCGACTACGCTACTCCCGCCAAATCGGATCCATCCGCTTCCATCACCGAGTCCACAACCGCAACTACCACCGCGTGTTCCTCCAAGTCCCTCACAAATGAACAGAACATCGATAACCTGGACCTTCCAAGGCAAGAAGTCATTCGCCGCCTTCGCTTCCTCAAACAGCCTATTACTCTCTTCGGCGAAGATGACGCAGCTCGTCTCGACAGGCTAAAATATGTCTTGAAAGCCGGTCTTTTCGAGGTCGATAGCGATATGACCGACGGTCAAACCAATTATTTCTTGAGAGACATTGCGGAGCTGCGGAAGTGGCAGAAGGCAGGAATTTCAAGCGATAAGAAGAGAAAGGAGAGGGAAGAAGAGGGAGGAGGAGAGGATGTAGAAGGAGGCGGCGGAGAAGAAGAGTTGAGTGGTGATGGCGGGTCTAGTGGAGTCGATATGGATAAGGATTTGAAAAGAATGAAGACGATTTTCTATGAGCTGTGTGATGAAGATAAGATTCTGGTGTTTTTCAAGAGATTGTTAAATGAGTGGAAACAGGAACTGGATGAGATGGGTGAATCTGAGAAGAGAACGGCGAAAGGAAAATCCATGGTGGCCACATTTAAGCAGTGCGCGCGTTACTTAAACCCATTGTTCAAGTTTTGTAGGAAGAAGGTATTCCCCCCCCCCCTCCCACCCCTTCTTTTGCTGATCTTTTGAATTCTGGACTTTCTTCTTTCTCCCTCTGTTGACAAGTTACATGCTGAAGAATGGTATTTGTAACTATAAAAGGAATTGAAACTTGAAGTGCAAATGGAACCAGTGAGAATTAAATGATTAGAAGTACTTGTTAGATCAAAATTGGAGGCTGTCTAGTTTTGTGAACTGTTCTGTGATTTGAGCCACTACTCTGCTGCACTTCGCATATATTCATGGTATCTTCAAGTTGAGATTGTAGTGATAATTCATGTCAAAATGTCTGCTGTTCTCTCATGTTTGCTTTGATGTTATTCTCGTCGAACACTCAAATAGTTGCTGGGGTAGCAGACCCACTTGGGCACCTAGAAGAAAGACAACTTTGAATATACCAACAAACCATTGTGATGATCCATAAAATTTTATTTCCCAAATATGAGTCTTCCTGGACTAATTGACTGCATCGCATCATGTGATGTCAAATGATCAAAGGTTTTGCCAAGCTCATGGGTGAGTAAAGAAACGCCAAGGGGTTACGTTTAGCATCTTGGAGCAAAGGTTCTCTTTTACAGGTTTGAGTGGAGATAGTAGAGGTTATGATTAGGAAGAACTTCAACATTTCGTGCCATCTAGAGACTAAGTGGAGCAAGGAGAGGCATATTATTACTAGATTATGTGGACTTGGACAATTTTGAGACATCCAAATCTTGTTGGTTAGGTTTGGTTTAGGTATTCACTTGTACATAAGAGAAGGCAGAGATTATGATTAGGAAGAACAACATTTCGTGCTGTCTAGAGACTAAGTGGAGCAAGGAGAGGCCTATTATTGCTAGATAATGTGGACTTGGACAATTTTGAGACATCAAAAGCTTGTTGGTTTGATTTGGTTTATATATTCACTGGTACAAAGGGAGTTACGAAGCTGTTGATATGCTCAATAGTTTTGAATAGCATTAAATAAGTCTTCATGAAGAATTATCCCTGTAATTGTGTTATAGCCATTCAATGGTAAACCTCGTGTTCAGATGGATAGGAGATTCATCTAATATCAACATTTTGCCAGCCTTGTTTCACTTTTACTTCCTGCTTTATGGTTTGATTTATAGCCAAAAATGTTCTGCATTTATCTTTTAGTGGTTTGCTCCGAGCCCCTGTTGTTGATGAATAAATTTATCTCCCCCAACTGAACAGGTTTAAGCTCCAAAAGAACATACTGCTTTTGTATGATCCCATTCACAGGCATAATTCTCATACTGTGCTGGATGTTAAGAAGTTAAATCAGTAAATCACTCTAGAATATGAATTGATCCCAATGCTTTGAACATGCATTATTGCCTGGTACTGAATTGTGTTGAATTGGTTTACACATACATGTAGTTCCTTGTCGTTTTAACACTGTTTTCAACTATTCGAAAGTTGCTTTTATTTCAGCACCCTTTGATTCTTTTCTCGTTTCAGTCCGTTATTTGTTGAATTTTTATGTGCGATCTCCATTATTTTCTCTGTTATTCGTAGACCGTTATTATATTTTTAGTTGACAAACTTAATACGGCCTTTTAACTTCCAGTTATCAGCAACAAAAGTTGCCTTTGCCCTGATCTAAGTGAAGACGTTGCACTATATCTATGGATATCCAATATCCACTGTGTTTACGGCATTGTACACAGAGCTTAGCTTTTATAAGACCCTATATTTACTTGTCATGTTCTCTAATGCTAGGTGCTTCCCGGTGATATACGGCAAGCACTATTGGTGGTGGTTGAGTGCTGCATGAAGCGAGACTACCTGGCTGCCATGGACCATTACATTAAGATGGCTATAGGCAATGCACCCTGGCCAATTGGTGTTACCATGGTTGGTATCCATGAACGTTCGGCGCGTGAGAAGATCTATACTAATAGTGTTGCGCACATAATGAACGACGAGACGACTCGCAAATACTTGAAATCGGTGAAAAGGTTAATGACATTTTGCCAACGACGATATCCTACCGTTCCTTCTAAAGCAGTTGAATTCAACAGCTTGGCTAATGGTAGCGATTTACAGTCATTGCTAGCAGAAGAAACGGATTCCGACTTTTGTTCCTCGGATGACAAGCCTAGGTTAATGCCTGCTCCGAATGACACCTAATTCATTTCTTCTTTTGTTCTTTTATTCTTCAAGTGGTCGAGATAAAATATTGTTTTAAATGATTTTTTTCTTTAAAAAATCTATTTTTGGAAAATGCATTCGTTTTTTTTTTTTTGGAAAAATATTTTTATTAGAGTATTTCCCCCGTCTTTTCTCTCATATGGAACAAAAGAAAATTCGAGAAAAATCTAATAAATTTTAAAATTTATCATCAAACTGAAATATTTAACCCATTATTACTTTTGTCCATTAAAACCGTCAATTATTGATCTTCTTTTGATCAATTTTTTTTTATTTCAACTCATTATTAGTTAAAAATTATTGTTGATAAAAATATGAAAAATATATTTTAAAAACTTCAAATCAAGTAATTTTTAAATAACTTTTTAAAAAATTTAATTGTTTAAAATATGTAAAATAATCATGATCAAAATATAAAAATTTTGACCTTTAAAAAGTAGATAATAGACATAATTAATAGGATGGAGGGAGTCTAATTTATCTAAAGCCAACCATATCCTAAGGTGATATAACTACCAAAACAATTTAGAGCCAGTCCATTAACTTGATTATTCGGCTCAAATTATATAGTTTTTATATAGTGCAACTGTTGAACTATATTTCGATATAACAAATTTAAGGCAAAATGTTTTTGGATTTGAATTGAATTTATTCAAAGTTTTCAAAAGGTTTCAAAAATAATTCAAAATCCATTAAATTCGGATTTGAGCAAAAATGCAAAAGGGTACCGATACCCCTTCAAAGGGTATCCATACCCGGGTGTACTGATACCCCCTGCAGGGGTATACATACCCCTGTGATTGCTCAAACATTGAATGCAAAAAGGGTACTGATACCCTTATGGGTATCCATATTCGGGTGTACCGATATCCCCTGCAGGGATATCCATACCCCTGGCTGCAACGGTTAGTAATGACTAGTTTAATTTGAATTTAACAAAGGTAGTACCAATACCCCTTGAAGGGGTACCGATACCCTCTGTTATGGGCAGCCTATTTTTGCATAAAAATCATCCCCAAACGCCTCCAAAACATCTCCAACGGCTAGATACGACTTCAAACTCATTCCAACTTATAAATACGTGTTCAAGACACTTGAAGAATATAAAGAACACCTATCCAAGCATTCAAACACAAGAGAAGAGTTTTTCAATCTTATTTTTCCTTTTTCTTATAAATATTGTGTTCTTGTGAGCTTAAATCTTGTAAACACCTACCTTAGAGAGGTTTTCTTGTTTACATTTCCTTTCCTTTTGTAAAGGGGTTTTGGTTCTAGCCGAGCCTGTTAAAAGCTAGAGATTGGTTCTAGTTAAGCCCGTGAAAAACTAGAGAGTTGTAAAGGTTATCTCTTTGTCCTTGAAAAAGAAATAATAAATTAGTGAATTTGTTATAAAATCCTTGGTGAGGAGCTAAGGTAGTGGATGTAGACTTGGTTGAGAAGTCAAACCACTATAAATAGCTATTCAATTTTTTATCTTTCAATCTTCTTACTCACTAAACACAAACACCGATCCAACCCCTCTTGGAGAATCCTTTCGGTTGTCGATTCGGACTTATACTAAATCCCAACAATTGACATCAGAGCCTAACTCGTTATAAGGTTTAACCACCTTGAGACGATCCTAGAAATAGCTCTACCAATTTCCAAAGCAACCGATAAGAAATGACTTCCACCTCCGGCTCGTTATAGATGGAAGACTCCCAACCGATCGACAAGCCTCCACTTTTCAATGGAGCAAACTATCGTCATTGGAATAAATTAATGAAGCTATTCATACAATCCAATGATCTTAATGCATGGGAGAAGAACGAGAATGACTACTCTTCTCCAAAGAAGAAGGATAAGAAGTAGAGTGACCAAGAACGGAAGAAAGCTCAACTTAATGCCAAGGCCATGCGTATGTTGTTTTGTGCATTTGGTCCTGAAATCTATGAAGGAGTTTCTTCGTGTTCAAGTGTCAAGGAACTTTGGAATAAGCTCAAGGAAATTCATGGAAACAATAAAGAAGAACCAACCAATGTGGTGTCCTTAATAGCTCGTGAAGAGCTCGAGGTATCTTCTAGATCAAATGAATTAAATTCATATACTTTTGATGCGTTACAAGATGCTTATAATAGGTTGTATTTGGGATTTGAGACCATGAATTCCAAATATACGAAATTAATTTCAAAACTCAAAATTAAAGATGAATTGATTTTGAAAGTAAAAGTTGATTTTGAAAATCAAAATGAAATTTTGAAAAATGATTTAGAGCTTTCAAAAATCAAAATAAATGATTTAGAAAAAGAAAAATTTGATTTAAAAGTTAAGCTTGAAAGGTTAACAAAAGAAAAAGAATTAATTTCTAAAAACAACATATTATGTTTAGAAATGACAAAATGCTCACATTGTTATTTTCACGGTCACAAGGAACATACTTGTCCTTTGAAGAAAGGAAAACATTTTAAAATTAGACAAATATGGATTCCTAAGGGAACAAGGGGCATTGAAACTAACATCCAAGGATCCAAAGCAATTTGGATACCAAAATTGAAATGAATGTCTCTTGTAGGTGTGTGGGAGCAAAGGTGATGAAAGTGATGATATTCAAGATGCTCTAGCCACACATGAAAAATGAATGGGTAACCTTTAAGCTTGATGCTTTTAATTTTGATTATTTGGTTGTTCATTTGATTTTAATCATACGTGAGTTTTCGTTTTAAATGAGTATGCATTATTGTCTTAATCTCATGTATGTTAAAAAGATATTATGATGAACATTTTAAAGTTTTAATGATTTTTCAGAATTTTTAGTTCATCATAATAAAATTTTGGTCAAAATTGGTTTTAATGAAAATGATATCTCTCTAACAATTGATATCAACTTTTCAAATACTTTGATTTTAAATGCAAATGATATCTATCTAACAATTGATATTAAATTTTTTAAAAATTCTTGACCTAAATTTGAATGTTTATGTATATGGTTTAATTGAAAATTATATCTCTCTAACAATTGATACCAAAATTTCTCAAATGCATAACATTTTTAGAAAACTTTATACATATGCACTTAATTTCAGCAATTGATATTGCATAAAGTATTTTAGACTTGGATACATTGAATTTCATGTACTACTAACATGTTTGTTATTCTTTGTTGAAATTCAATTTTATTTAAGTGTCAAGTTCTGAAAGCTAAATTTTGTTTAGAATACATTTATTGAGGGGGAGCTTTGATTTTGAAATGATTTTTAAATGTCAAATTTACCGCTTACTCTCCAAAGTTATTTTGAACTTCAAAGATTGAATTATTTTTTATATAACAAAAAGGGGGAGAAGTTTGGTTTGAAAAATTCAATTTCTTAATGAAAAATGGGGAGCTTAACATTTTCATATATTTTCCAACAATTAGTAACAATTGGTATCTTTTTTAACAATTGATATTCTTTTGTTAACAATTGATATCTTTTTCATTAAATATTTTATTAAGTGGGGTTTTGCCAAAACAATTTTTCAAATGTTTTGTTATATCAAAAAGGGGGAGATTGTTGAACTATGTTTCGATATAACAAATTCAAGGCAAAATGTTTTTGGACTTGAATTGAATTTATTCAAAGTTTTCAAAAGGTTTCAAAAATAATTCAAAGTCCATTAAATTCGGATTTGAGCAAAAATGCAAAAGGGTACTGATACCCCTTCAAAGGGTATCCATACTCGGGTGTACCGATACCCCCTATAGGGGTATACATACCCCTATGCTGCTCAAACACAGAATGCAAAAGGGTGCCGATACCCCTATGAGTATCCATATTCGGGTGTACTGATACCCCCTGCAGGGGTATCCATACCCTCTGGCTACAAAAGCTAGTAACGACTAGTTTAATTTGAATTTAACAAAGGTAGTACCGATACCCCTTGAAGGGGTACCGATACCCCCTGTTATGGGTAGACTATTTTCGTAGAAAAATCATCCCCAAACGGCTCCAAAACATCCACAGTGGCTAGATACGACTTCAAACTCATTCCAACTTATAAATGTATGTTCAAGACACTTGAAGAATATAGAGAACACCTATCCAAACATTCAAACACAAGAGAAGAGTTTTTCAATCTTATTTTTCTATTCTCTTGTAAATATTGTGTTCTTGTGAGCTTAAATCTTGTAAACACCTACCTTAGAGAGGTTTTCCTGTTTACATTTCTTTTCCTTTTGTAAAGGGGTTTTGGTTCTAGTTGAGCCTGTTAAAAGCTAGGGATTGATTATAGTTTAGCCCATGAAAAATTAGGGAGTTGTAAAGGTTATCTCTTTGTCCTTGAAAATGAAAGAACAAATTAGTGAATTTGTTAGAAAATCCTTGGTGAGGAGCTAAGGTAGTGGATGTAGACTTGGTTGAGAAGTCAAACCACTATAAATCGTTGTGCAATTTTTTATCTTTCAATCTCCTTACTCCCTAAACACAAAAACCGATCCAACCCTTCTTGGCGAATCCTTTCGGTTTTCGATTCGAGCTTCCGCAAAATCCCAACAACAACATCCTTGAATTGATATGGGTAGTCTGATCTGATTTAAGGTGTCACATTAAGACTACTAGTGTGACCCATACTAAAAATTTGGGGAAAATAGAATTTTTGTTAAACCATTTAAAACCACATAAAATTAAAATAAATATAAGGTAAGTTTAGAAATCATTTAAACATTGAAACAGAATTCATTAGTACATAATAAAAAAATAAATTTCATACTCTAACAAAAAAAATATGACCTACATGCTCTAATTACACATGTAACATACTTCACAAGCAACATCGAATGAGCTCCCATTATTGATATCGATAATTACACATGATCAATTCCTTTAAACCTGAAATAGTAAGTAATAGAGTGAGTTTTAGGAAAGCTCAGTAATACAGAACTATCGAATGATGCTAAAGGTCTAATATATATATGGTAAAACATGAATTTTTAGTGACTCGGGCATCTAAATGTTTTTTTAGTT